TGGGCTGCAGGCTACAGGCAGCTTTGGAGTTCAGAGTCTTCATGAAGGGCTTTGCACAAAGAGAGTTTTCCCACACAGCCACATCTGTATTTGTGAAGTGAAGCCTTTTCATTCCACGTCTTCTGGGCTGCAACACCAGGTTGCCAGGGACATTGTGCACTTAAAGTGGCTGCCACACGGGTCCCATTCAGCCCTGCAGTGGCACACACAGCTCCACCTGGGGACTTCTGGGGTTTGCAGCATACAGATGGTGTTTCCTGAACATCTACTGCTATCAGCCTGTGCATTGGGCTGCTGTAGTGAGCAAAACAGACACAGTCCTGCCCCACTAATCACAGAACCACACTTGGATGTCACATGGGGGTGGAATGCTGTGAAGAAAACGCACTGAAAGCTTGGATTGAGCAGCCTGTCACGTCCCCAGGGGGTGTGGGAGATGGTGTCGGAGGCAGTGCTTGAGCTGAGTTCTGAGCCACCGTAGGAGTGAACTAGGCAAGGAGGAAGGGGAGGGACATACATGTGCCGAGACCGGCTGCCCATAAGGAGCATGAGGCATTCAGGGAGGGCTGAGGCCAAGCAAGAGAGAGTTTGCTGTGGGGGTGAACAGGAGAGGGAGGCAGGGACTGGGATGGTTAATTTCATGGGTCAACCCAGCTGGGCTGTGGTCCCAGGTTTTTGCGCAAACACTAGCTACATGTTGCCCTGAAGGTATTTTATAGATGCAGTTAAGTAAAGGAGATTACCCAGGATAATGTGGAGGTAGGCCTCATATAATCAATCGAAGGCCTTAAGAACGAAAAACTGGAGTTTTCTGTAGAAGGGGGAATTCTGCCTCAAGATTGTACCACAGAAATTCTACTTGAGTTTCCAGCCTGCTGGCTCTTCCTTAAAATAAATTCTCTCTCCCTCTGTATATATATTTATATGTGGGTCGTGTGTGTGTGTGTGTGTGTGTGTGTGTGTGTGTGTGTGTGTCCAATTGGTCTGTTTCTCTAGAGAACACTGACTGATCCAGGGCAGACCACAGACAGCTTGGCAGGATTTGGGCAGGATTTGGGTAGTCCTTCGCTGGCAAGCAGTAGAAGCCAGGAAGGATTTTAAGCAGGGAGCAAGGCTGATCCAGTCAGCATTTGCAGAACATCAGTCAAGCCAGGTTGGAATCTGGGGAACTGGCACAGCAGTCCCAGAGGCTCCAAAAGCATCTGTGACATACCGCCCATCCTCCAAGGCCCCCTGAACCTCCCCATCTCAGATGAGGACACTGTTCGAATCCCTGAATTCCAGTGGTCTTTCTATGCCTTCATTCAATTGTTGAGCAAATACACGCATCTATAGAGCATGGCCTGCCTTACGGGTGGACGTGGGCCAGACCCAGGGCATTCTTTGAAACCACTGCAGGTTTTTGTTTAATCCAGGGTCCTATGAACAGCCCTTCTCTGCATTCATTCATTCATTCATTCATTCAAATATTTGAGGTCCTGGGGCACCTGGGTGACTCAGTTAAGCACCAGACTTTGGCTCAGGTCATGATCTCACAGTCTGTGGTTTGAGCCCCGTGTCGGGTGGTGTGCTGACAACTCACAGCCTAGAGCCTCCTTCCATTTCTGTGTCTCCCTGTCTCTGCCCCTCCTCCACTTGCGCACACGCTCTCTCTCTCTCAAAAATAAAACATTAAAAAAAATTTTAATATCTGAGGTCCTACTATTCGCTAAGCTCTACAGTATGGTCTGGTGATGCAACAGGAAACAAACCTAGCCCGAATCCCTGCTCACCACGTGGTAGAACATATCCTGTCAGGACAGAGATGGCCAAACGTCAAAATAAAGAGCTCCAGGTGGAGAGAGGAAATAGCATGTGTTTGACTTCTTGGGCTGCGCAGCCCTGCCTCCTGGACTCACTACTCCCCTCTCTAAGCCTCAGTGTTCTTGTCGACAAAAATCACAAAACACCCAGCAAAATATGGCCCCCTGTTTAGAGAATTAGATGAGGTAACAGACCAGAGTCTATCTCATCGCACTGAAGTATGCACCTGTTGTTTCTGTGTCATTATTTTCCTTGTCACCATGTTGTCTGTGAGGTTAGGTAACATGCTTCAGATATGCTTGTCACAGGACCTTCTGTAAATATCCCAGCAGGGAGACTTGGGGTTTTGGTGTCTTGTTCTGGGTTTCATCTTAGATGCCTCAAGTTTGCTAAGTAGTCGTAGCAAACAAACAAGAATGAAAGAATAAGCAGCATGGGAGAGGGTGAGCCATCACTGCCAGCCTGAGGCCAGACCCCTTCAAGTGGCTCCCTCGTGGTTAATTAGCCTCCCTCCAGCAGAGATGCTCCCTGGACCAGTGCCTCCCCACTGGGCCTGTTCACTCATCCAGCTCCTGCCTCCCTCCCTCC